ACAACCCAAAAGAGTTGGTATGTAAGATCATTATTAATATCATTTTTTTATTTTTTTACCTAACTTAATAATTAAAAAGTATAATAATTAGGTCGTTAACCATGCATTTAGCGCACAGGCTTGGAAAAACCATAGGCTTTTCACTTTTATTCAAAACACTGTATTCCAGAGAAACGACACTTCGTTTTCACGCCTATAAAGTAGCAGGATTTGCTCCCTCACTTCTCCAAGGCGAAAGAAATGGCTTCTTCTCTTTCCATTTTATCTTTCCTTCTTCTCCTTTGCGCCTTTGCTAAGGCCACAGAGCCGGGCCGCCTCATTCTAACCCTCGTCAACAACTGTCCTTTCACTGTCTGGCCCGCTATCCAACCCAACGCTGGCTTTCCCGTCCTTGAGAAGGGTGGGTTTGCCCTCCACACTCTCACCCACAGCTCCTTCTCCGCCCCCGACCAACACTGGTCTGGCCGCATCTGGGCTCGCACTGGCTGCAACTACGCCTACGGCCACTTCTCCTGCTCCACCGGAGACTGTGGCCACCGCCTCGAGTGCGACGGCCTTGGCGGCGCCACCCCTGCCACCCTCGCCCAGTTCAGTCTCCACCATGGGCACCAAGACTTCTCCTCCTACGGCGTCAGCCTCGTAGACGGGTTCAACGTCCCCATGACCGTGACCCCTCACGAGGGCAAAGGCCAGTGCCCCGTCGTGGGCTGCCGTGCAGATCTGCTCGGTTCCTGTCCGGACCAGCTGCAGTTCCGGTCACATCCGAACGGACCAGTTGTGGGGTGCAAGAGCGGGTGCGAGGCGTTCAACACGGACGAGCTGTGCTGTCGGAATCATTACAACAGTCCTCAGACATGTAGAGCTTCAACTTTTTCAGAGTTTTTCAAACATGCTTGCCCTGCCACGTTTACTTATGCTCATGATCGTCCCTCGCTCATGCATGAGTGTTCTTCCCCACGTGAGCTCAAGGTCATCTTCTGTCACTAGCTATAAGTAAAAACCTTGTCCTTAACTTGTTCCAGTGATCTTCTTGCTTTTGTTCTAGAATCATATATCCTTTGTAATAATGGGGAAAACTAAGAAAAAAAACGTTAAGCCCTGTACGCACTTTGGTTTGCATATGGAATGCTAGTGTTGTTTGGGATTATGAAATGTATGAATGTATTGAGTATGTTTGTGTTTAATGGTAAGAGTTAAGGTACATCTATGGTTTCCCTTTTCTTGTTTTCTGTTTTTTCAATTTTATTGTTCTTTATCTGCCGGTTTAAGAGTCTATGGGCGGTAGCAGGTTAGATGGTGGATTTTTTTTTTTTTTTTTACAAAAGTAATGATTAGAAAGTTAGTAAAATTAGTGTTTTAATAGGTGAAAATTTTCACCCCTCGTATCAGATGTGCGATCATTAAATGTGTTATCATTAAGTCGCAAATTGGTGGGTTCACGACTGTAGTAGAACTCGAAACTCTTATTTCTACCTCACTCAAGCCCACCAACCATTGGCCTCAGGCCCGGTGGATGTTGATCTGTGATTCACGGTGATGCATGCGTCTTCTTTTACGTACTTTTTTCTTTTTTT